CTGGGTCAAATGGTATCTCTATTTGCAACCCTTTGAGAAAGCACCACACCACCTTCCACAATGGTTGCACCATCCTACATTCCCACCAACAGTGAATAAGAGTTCCAGTCCCTCCACATCCCCGCCAGCATTCGTTGCCCACTGCTCCGTTATATTTTGCTATTCTTACTGGGGTGAGATGATATCCCTTAGCTGTTTTGATTTGTATCTCTCCCAGAGCCAGGGACCTTGAACATCTCTTCATGCGCTTGTTGGCCATCTGAATGTCCCCTTCGGTGAAGTGTCTGTTCATATCCTGTGTCCATCTTTCTATTGGATTATTCACCTTTATCTTATTGTGGTGTTCAAGTATCCTACAAATCCCGGATATAAGTCCCTTATCTGACATGTCATCACCAAGTATTTTTTCCCAGTCTGTGGCTTCCCCCCTTACTCTATTGGAGAAGTTTTTGGATGTGCATACAAGTGTCTTTTTTAATCCCTGCTCTTCAGTCTCTTTTGCTGTGGGCTTTTGTGTGTCAGGAAGTGTGACGGTGGTGCCAGACAGGACTAGGTTCAGGTCTTTTGTTTATAGGGTTGCTATGAGTTGTACTCAAATCGATGGCACCCAACAACAACAACAACATTAAAAAGAGCCTCAATGAAATAGACTGCTCGTTGGCTTAAGCACAGCAGAGATTGTGAGGACGCTGCAAGATTGGGCAGGGTCTCTTTCTGTTGTACATAGGTTCATGGCACCTAGTAACAACTTAGAGAACGCTGATGGCTCAATGGTAAGGAATTGCCCTGCCAAATCCAAAGTTCAAATCCACCAGCTGCTCCATGAGAGAAAGATGGACAGTCTCCTGTGCGATTTACTGCTTTTGAAAACCTACTAGAGGTTCAGTTGTTGTTTGGTTCTGACTCCACAGTACACGACAACAATGACAACATGTTAATTCTAGGATTAAGTTTTATAGTAACTCTCAAACTGGTATCTATAGCAATAGTGCCATTTTACATTCCTTCAAGCTGTGGACAAGAATTCTAATTTCTCCACATCCTCAGCAATGCTTTTTTTGTATATTTTCTAATAATAATCATTCTAGTAAATGTGAGGAAGTGGGAGTGGCATCCATTTCCTGAACAACATGCCTTCGGAAACTCTATGAACTTTGATAAGTGTTGATTATAGAAAGGCTTCAAGCCCTTTGTTCATAGGGTCTTTATGAGTTGTCCTCAATTCGAAGGTGATTAACAACACAGTGGATGAGAGATAGTCATGATACAGATTTTTAAGAAAGAGAAAGAACACAGATCATAAAAGATATTTACTTACATTATATTAAGATCTACCCAAGACGAAAGTCTTGACTTAACCCTGTGGAGCTCTCCATGCCTACTGCTGTTGAACTCCTTCCAACTCATGGTTACTCCACATGCGGTGTCCAGCACTGTGACTCTTTATGGGAGGGGACTGCCCAACCTTCTCCTGAGTGATGGCTGGTCAACTTAACCTGCTTACTTTTTGGATAGCAGCTCAACACCTAATGCAATATGTCACTTATGTTACTTTGCGGAACTCTAGCAAGTCCTAGGTTTTTTAGTAGGAAAAATGATAAAGAACTAGTACCTTTTTTAAAAATATTATTTTCATTTTAATTTAAAAGTTTACCAAAGCAAAATAATTTTTCCTTCCAACATTAATACACAATTTGCTCTACAACACACTTTGTTCAGCTCAATTTGAGCTAATATTTTTGACAATTCATTTGAACGGACCCAAGATCTGACATGAATATCTACTAGTTCACACATATTGTTCAGGTTATTCAAAAACGTTTACACAAACCATTTTACATTTGATACAGTGTTGTCTTTGTTGTTGTATACCATTGAGTCAGAACAGAACCATGACTGATTCTCCCGTGGCTTTTCAGAGGAATGGGGAGAAATTGCCCATCCTTCTGTCGCAGAGCAGCTGGTGGATTCAAATCACATGCCTTGGGGATTGCAGCACAGCTTCTTACCAGAGCTCCTCAACAATGTTGACTGGGGGAAAAAAGTTGTTATCATCTTGGAATAACCAGTTCCCTTAATATACCTCAAAAATCTCTTCTATATTTGGAAATGTTTTAGAGTTGAATTTCTAGAATTCTGTTTAACAACTTGTAAAGGTCTCCAAGAATGCTAGATTAAACATGATGGCTTAATTGCCAACTTAAGTGTTTCCATGTATCACAGCTCTGTGTATGTGTTTGTGTGTGTGTGTGTCTCCTCTAAATAGGCTACAGCTCAGATGGAAGAACGGCTAAAGGAAATTATCACCAGTTACTCTCCCGACAACGTTCTTCCGCTAGCAGATGGGGTGCTCAGTTTCACTCACCATCAGATTATTGAACTGGGCCGAGACTGCTTGGATAAATCCCACCAAGGTCTCATCACCTCCCGGTACTTCCTCGAATTGCAGCACAAATTAGATAAATTGCTACAGGAGGTACGTACCATGCACCTTGTAAAGTTCTATGGTTTGTTTTGTTTTTATCCGGAATTTTATTTATTTATTTATTTATTTTTGTGTGTGAGGACATTTGCTTTAAATTGCTACCATGAGAAAAAAAGTTATTCCAGGAAAGCAAATGGGGTTTGAGGGTGTGGTGGGAGGGGAGGGAAGCTGATTGCTACATCCTGTAAATTGATTCTCATCATTATTTATAGTAATAGAAAGTTAATGCAATAACCTTTACAGAAACCTCAGGACCCAACTATCTATGTCTCTAAGATAAGTGGATTGTGAGGGATTTTGAAGCTAAGGTTTCCCTGCTCCTTAACCATAAAGTTAGAAATTGCCTGAATGTATGTATGTTATTTGATGATGCTATCTAATTCTAGTATCTGGAAGAGCTAAATGGAAAATTGCTGGCTTATTCCAGACTGTGAGTCCTATTAATTAACCTGCAAAGTGTTGAGTAGTAAAAGGCAACTTATATTTTCATTAGTGTCAGTTCTTCTAACAAAATATCCAATTTCCAATATGACAGATAAACACAGGCCCTGTCTGGGCCAAACACTCATATGCACAGCTCCTGATAACACTGGGGACCGGAAGGGACTAACTATATGATAGAATGGATTTGTGCATACAGTTGCCCTTCTGCCTGAAATCGATCAGCCACAGTCCATAAGTAAAACCTATTTAGCCTGTATATTTGTATATATTGAATTTTTTTTATCTCATAGGGCATAAATTGGATCCTTGTAAACATAACCATAGGTGGTTTTCTCTAAGCATGAATATGTGATTAATTCCCTTGAATTCAGGGAAAATACTCATGCCCTTATTTTCCAGAGATCTCTCTGCCTTTGCTCTGCTTTTGCTGAGGTGAAAAGATCTCATTTTAGTAACCAGCAAACATTGTTCTTCCCCTTTTCAACCATACTTTCCAACAGTTTTCTATGCTTTATTTTCATTTCTTACATTTCACACTCCTGTGATCAACAAAAGCTGTGCTGCTTGGAGAATCTTTGGGTTTTGTTGTTAATACCTAATCTGCCATGGATCAATGCTCGAATAAACAAAAATGAATTTATGAGAAAATGAGATGCATTTTAAGCCACGCTTTGTAAATCTGGCAAATGTAAAGTTGCTTTGTTTTTGCTGATGTTGCTGCTGCCTGGCCCCACGTCAGTCCCCAGCTCATGGCAACTCTGTGCGTGATGGCTCCTGACCGTCGTGCTCCATTGGCTGGTTTTCAGAAGTAGGTTGTGTGGCTTTTGCTCCGCACTGACTTAGTTCAGAAGCTCTGCTGAAAGTTCCTCAGCATCACAGATGCACACAAGGCTGGCCATGTTTCAGAAATTGAATGCGAGCATTTTGATGGAAGGTGAGAATTCTAACAGTGAACCATTGCCACCATCACAAAATGGCTATAAAGATTTCTAAATGCGTATTTCAGTATTTCTGCTTCCCTCATCATAGGCTAATGATAATTCGATGTCTGACGCCTGTCTTATGATCAGACTTTAAAGTTACACTGTAGTAGAGTATACCTTCTTTATGGAGAGAGACATTATCAGTTTTCCCCACATAGAACGGCATGTGATGAAAGTGCTTAGTAAATTTTCATTTACTGAATGACTTCCCACCCCATCTCACTCTCTTCTTACCATCATACTTGCTTGACATTTTACTGGATTGAGCCTGTTGTCCATAAACATTATTGTGTTCAACAGCTTAAAAAGCTCCTTCCTCCTTCCTCCTATCCCTTTCTTCTTTTAAGATAGTTTTAGTATTGATATTTATCAGAACATCCTCTCTGCCTCTTCCAAGGACACTGCTTTAACTGCTAAAAGTTTCCTAAAAGTTCTTTCGCCACCTAGCTCATTCCTCATCCACCAACCCTTCCACTCTGTCATGGGGATTTTATCCCCTGTCTTGGATTAAACACCAGGTCAGCAACTCTCTCACAGCCTTCAGAGTCATGTGTTTACCTGCCCACTGAATACCCTTCTAGCCAGACAGTCACCACTGCAACCCAACCATTCCCGAACTGCACTCAGCATTTTCTCATTTACACCAGCTGGCCTTGTACTCCTTACCATCATCATTGACACCTCCTTACCCTCCCCTGCTAGTGCCCCTCCAGAACTTGGAGCATGAACACGTGACAGGGGAATTTGCTCTTTCTAGGTAGAGCCAAATTGTGGGAATCGTCTTTGGTTTCCCCATGGTATACATGTCACCATTCTCTCAATCATGTTACCTTTGTCATTATTTTTATATATATAACTCAGAAGGGGTACCCCTGAAATCTGGGCAGGTTGGTTTAACTGAGGCCCTTTTAAAGCCCTGAAAGCTAAGCTAATTTCAAATGAATGCTTTTATATCTCAGTATTTTTGTTCTTTTTTATAGATGGGTTTAGCCAAAGGGAAGAAAATATCTGGGTTACAGTATTTTGTGTAGTGACTAACACTAAACCCAAACATGTACAGGGTATCCAATAGTGCTTCTTTGCGGAACTTGTTACCAAGAAGCCACAAGGCTCTGGTGGCCTAGTGGTCAGCAGTTGCACTGCTAACATGAAAGCACCCCGTTAGAATCCACTGGCTACTCTGCAGGAAAAAGATGGACAGTCTTCTTTTCTGTGATTTACGGCCTCTAAACGCCCTCCAGAGGATCATCTGTGAGTCGGTACCATTATAACAACAAGAAGAACTAAGGAACCAGTGTCTCCTCTCATGCTAATTGTGTCATTTCTGGTTTGGTTCGAACAAACCTCTCCCCATAAAACACTTGGTGTTGGTAAAATTAATAAAGAAACTGTTGTTGTTGTTGTTATGTGCCATCGTGTCACCTGCAACTCATAGCAACCCTATGCACAACAGCCCTAAACCCTGCTCTATCCTGTGCCAATCTCACTGTCTCCAACACACCTACCCCCATTACCCCAGTCACTGAATTAATCTATCTCATCGAGGGTCTTCCTCTCTTGCACTGACCCTCCACCCTCCCAAGCATAATGTCCTTCTCCAAAGTTTGGTCCCTTCTTGCAATATGTCCAAAATATGTCAGATGAAACTTCAGAATTCTTAGCTCTAAGGAGCAGCCTAGCTTCACTCTTTCCAAGACAAACCTGTTCGTTCTCTTAGCAGTCCATGGTATAGTCAATACTCTTCTCCAGCACCACAGCTCAAAGTCATCAATTCTTCTTCTGTCCTTCCTAGTCATTGTCTAGCTCACTGACACATAGCAAATGATTGCAAAGACTATGGCCTCTGTCAGGCACACCTTAGTCTCCAGAGTGACATCATTGCTATTCATTACTTTGGAGAAGTCTCTATAAGCAGACTTTCCCATCACACTACATCTTTTAATTTACTGGCTGCTGGTACCAAGAGTGTTGAAACTAGTAAAGAAAATATTATTTGAATTAACTCATTGTATTGACCTTTTTTTAGTGGCTGATGATATTTAGAAGGAAGAAGTAGAATAACTGATTATTTTCAGTTTTTAAAAGTGCAGTATGTATGATCAAAACCATTTTTATATGTTTTAATTCACACTTTTAAAAACTCCCCTTCAAAGAGACTGCTAAAAAATATTAAGGCTTTCAGAGGTTTTTGTGGGGTTTTTCCCCCCCTTGTCTCAAATTTGAAAAACAATTATTAAGTAAGGTAAAACTTAATGGTGAGCCCAAAATGTCAACCAATAAGTCAAGTGTCTTTGTTTGGTATTGTGGGATATTTGTTAGTTTCTTTCATTTGGTTTTTGCTTTAATTTTTAAGATTTTTTTGATTGTTTTTGTTTAGGTTTAGTTGAGTACTAGTAGTAACAAAAACTCTATTTCTTGGCCTTCGTTGTTAGATCTATTTCTGTTGCTAGAAGAAATTGGAAAGAAAATGCAAAGGCAATTTAAATATTGGATTTAAAAAACATTATGTCTGCATATTTATGTGTGTCTTAGAGTGCTTCAGAGCAGACCAAACAGTTCAGTACTCAGCCGCTAATGGTAAAATTAGAAGTTGAGGTTTACTCAGAAGTGTCTTGGAAAAAAGCCTGGTGATCTTCCAAAACAGTATTGAAAACCCAGGGGAGACAGTTCTGTTTTGATGAACATGTATCAAATATCCAAATATCCACCTACGGATATTTTTAATGTGTGTCATATCCTTGATGGTTACAGTTACTCCTCAATGTTCTTCAAATAGATTCAGTTATACTCACCAGTGGTCATTTTAACAATATGGTGTCTCAGTTCTTTTCATAGAGCGCTAGTCCTTGTACTGATAAGGTACTTTAACACATGGTTGTAAACCTCTGTTTCTGTGTCTGTGGAATGACATCATTTTATATCAGTATTATGTTATTTTTAATTCTAAAATGAAAGTAAATCATAAAATTTAAGAAAGGTTAGTAAATGAGTTTGCATGGAGATTTACATTTTAATATAAAACTTTTAGGATTAGTTTAAATAAAGATTTATCTTATTTCTTCAAGAAGATGACATTGCAAATGAAATTATAGTTAACAAACTGAGCTTTCCTTTGTCAGTATTCTTTGTGTTTAGTAGATTTTACAAGTATAAAATACAAAAAAATAAAAATCCTAAGTCAGCTCATTTTTTTCCTCGATTCACAGTGAAATTGAATTCATATTTATATGTTCAAGTATAAACATTAGGTAGTGAACATTTATAATAAATACACATTGCATGTTTGTTACTTGTTAGGAAATGGCTGACTTCTACATTAATCATATTGTGTATGACTTTGGCACAGGATATGACAAGGTTCTGATCTGTAGGGTCACTGTGAGTTGTCATCAATTGGACGTCACATAATAACAATAATGTATGCAAAATATATCCATGAATATGTTAAATGTCCATGGTTACATAAGCAGTTCTTCCGGCTACCATCAGTGTGGCTATGGTAGCCATTTCATAAATATTCAATGTTCCTGGTCAACTGTCCACTTGACTTGTACCATATACTTTCTCTGTTATAAACTTTTTATGTCTTTCATTCATATTTCATATTCAAAGCTGTAACACTGGCTTTATAAAGCAGATTATCAATCAAAATTTCTGAATTTAAATTCCACTAATTAGAGTCATTTGGTAGAGAAGATTAATAGCGTCCACTTATGTAGAGATAATGCTCATTTATCCTGCAGAGATTTTAAAAGTATTTTCTAATTCACTTAATTTTTGAATATTTGTAATTATCTAATTAGCATGCTTGACTAATTTTTCTTTTCCATTTTATGGAGCATCTCGGTATCATCATTCTTTTTTTCATTGCTAGGCACATGATCGTTCAGAAAGTGGAGAGTTGGCATTTATTAAACAACTAGTCAGAAAGATCCTCATCGTCATTGCCCGCCCCGCTCGGTTATTAGAGTGCCTGGTAAGTGCCTGACTATGTTATTTATTGTTAACTGTGGGGAAACAGTAACCGGCAGACAGCGCCCTTTTCATTTCGCTTCAAAGACCAGAGCTAAATGGGAAGATTCACGAGGAGCTGCAATTTGTGCATGTTTATGAGGGCATCCATATGTGTTTATTCTTTTCTGATTATAAGTAAGATTTCTAGGACTTGTGTTGTATTAAGTGATAGTCATATTGCATTCTGGGCAAACTTGAAAGATGATCATGAAAGCATGTGCTTGAGCTTATCTCAGCATAATTACTTTCTGTCACAGCTAATTTAAAATGCTTGCTATGCCTCACTTACATGGGTGAACAGGGAAGAAAATCAGAGTTATCATATACAGTGGCCTTTGCTTTTAATTATCATCTTTAAAATACAGCATATTAACAAATCATTTAGTAGAATATAACACAGCCTCATGTTGACCTGAAGGAATCAGACTTGCAGAGACTAGTTCATTTTATTCATTATACACTGAAACCTGTTGGAGCCAGAACTCGACAGAACTGCTTTGTTTTTCTGGTTTTTTGCAAGTTTTCCACCTTTGAGAGGGTGCAGTCTCACCGCTTTTCTATTGCTCTCCATTAGTGGGAAATACGATTTTCCTCCTCTGGCAAGTGTCTGCCTTACCAAGTTAAAACTTTTTCAAGTTTTATTTTATATTTTTTTTGTTACTAATAATCATTATCCTGTTTTAAATTTTTTTAAGATTTTTAAATTAAATTTTCAGTCAGAATTCCGGGAAAAGTATGAGGCATTAGGTATAAGAATTATTTAAAAGTTCTTTATAAAATATAAAAACTTTAAAAATTCACTACTCAAAGATTAATTTCAATACTGCAGCACACTTTACAAACATAGTGACATTGCTTTGCATTTTTTTAAATCTATTTTTGTAATGCTTAAATGTTCTTGTTGTTGTTGTTATGTGCCATCAAGTCGTTTGCAACTCATAGCGACCCTATGTACAAGAGCCCCTAAACACCGTTCAATCCTTTGCCAACCTTGCTGTCTCAAACACATTCATTCCCACCACTCCACTCACAGAATCAATCCATCTCATCGAGAGTCTTCCTCTCCTGTGCCGTCCCTCCACTCTCCCAAACATGATGTCCCTCTCCAAGGACCAGTCCCTCCTTGCAACATGTCCAGAGTATGTCAGACGAAGTCCTTGACTCCAAGGAGCATTCTGGCTTCACCCTCTCCAGGACAAACCTGTTTGTTCTCCTGGCAGTCCATGGTATATTCAACACTCTTCTCCAGCACCACAACTCAAAGGCATCAATTCTCCTTCCATCATCCTTATTCACTGTCCAACTCTCTGATGCATAGCACGTAATTGCAAAGACTATAGCCTGGATCAGGCACACCTTAGTCTCCAGCCTGACATTGCTCTTCAGTACTCTTGAGAGGTCCCTCAGAGCTGACTTTCCCAATGCAATTCATCTCTTGATTTCCTGGCTGCTACTACCAAGTGTGTTGACTGTGGAACCAAGCAAACTAAAACTGTTAACTGTCTCAATTTCTTAATGTTCTTAGCCTCATAAAAACATACTAAGGCATTGTGGCACATGATAGAAGAAAAGTCTTGAGAAAAATAAGAGAGTGAGCAAAGTATTTCATCAAAGGCAAGGAGACCCTAGGATCACAAAATAAAATTTCCAGTTAGCGTTTGGTATTTCTGAATAAAAGAAGAAAGAGAGGCAGTAGGCACTCTTGGAGAGAATTGCATGACCAGTAATGCAGCCAGAGGGAGACATGCATTTTACCACTTCTCATGTTACACCCTGTGAATTTTGTCCTAAGTGCTTTCACCTCCTACAGTTGTTTAGTTTGAGAGGAAAATCACATCTAACATTCAAATATCTCTCTGGACAACTGCATATACACAAGGAACAGATCTTGCCTTAGAAGAGGAAATGGATTTTTTTATAGCAATAATTCAATAATTGAGGCAGGAGGGGGGGGAATAAGAGTCAAACTTTTCCAAGACAGAAAAAAGTTTCATAGTTTTAGAGGTTATTTCCCTAACCAGTCTAGGCTTGCCTTGTCTGTCTTGGTGCACTTGTATAAAGACCACTGTGTGTATACATTGAATTTGCCTGCCTTTTAATGTGACTTTTGCAAGTCTCTGAGTTATTCTCAGATGAAATTCTTAGGTGCAAAACTTACCTATTTGAAACCTTAATTTTAAGGGGGGATACATATCCTAGAAAAAAAAATTCTAGGAAATACAGCTTAAAATATAACTGTGATTTAAATCTGTAAGCAAAATTGTCTACAACACATAAATTTACAGCCTCGTCTAGACTAATGTGATCCTGAGGATTTGTAGTATGTGCTTGTGGGGGGAGAAGGGGTAAGAGAGTGAGACACTACAAAGGAAAAGAAAAACTGTAGGGAAATTTTCTAACTAATGCTTTTTAAAATGCTGTCTCAAATTCATTGCCTTCAAGTTGGCACCAACCCATAGCTGACCCTCCAGTGGGTTTTCAGAGGGTGTAACTCGCACAGGAGGAGAGTTCCCATCTTTCTTCCTCTGAGCCACTGGTGGATTCAAACTTCTTCCCTCTGGGTCGCAACTCACTTCTTATCTTCTAGGCTACCAGAGCTCCCCAAAGAAGTAATTAGAAGCATTGATTTTATACTTTTCTTTCTTGGATATTTACATTATGTGGCTGTTAATAATTTAATTTTACAGTTCACTAACAGAAAGTGATGATGTTGAGTTTTTTTTCTTCCTAATATTTTTGGATACCACTGTACTGAGGGAATTTCCTGCAAGACCTTTGAGAAAATGTATTCTGGCATGGCTGCTTCTGTGGTTAGTTGTACAGGGAGAGAAAGAGCCTTCTGGGTAAGATTCCAGATTTTGAAATTTTGCTTTGAAGCCACATTAAAAAAATCAGACTTTTTAATTTTTAGTGAATGAGATAATTGTAAGTGAACAATAGTGCCTTCAAAGTTGCATTGAAAAGAAATTGGAAATGGGCATTATCTTTGCCTTATCAAGTCTATAAATGTATTGATTTTCTCTTTGAACTTAGAATATGAAGTAAGACTTGTGAAAACCTTTCAAAACCATTTGCTTCTTATTCTACCTAAATAACCCCCAACACTTCATAGGCATATCTGGTAGCAGTTTTTACTGCGAATGGGATTTATGTAATAAAATATCAGTAAATTTTGGCTTAAATAAGCACCCATCTTTGCTTATCTTCTGCTAGGAATTTGATCCTGAAGAATTTTACTACCTTTTGGAAGCTGCAGAAGGCCATGCAAAAGAAGGGCAAGGTATTAAAACTGACATTCCCAGGTACATCATCAGCCAGCTGGGGCTCAATAAGGATCCTCTGGAAGGTGAGTGTGTGGGTGGGGCTGACCTTTAGACTTGCTTATACACCGTCACCCTGTATTAGAATTTAGCAACCAGTCTTTATTTTCCCCGCATGTTTTGGCTCTTCTCTTTCCCCATGTTTCTTCTTTTGAAAAATGCCCTGCTTGAGAGCTGATTGTAATTTGAAGGAATTAGTCATGAACTGGATCTGGAGGAGCAAATAGGCATGACCCATTCTGTGTTTACCTCAAATGTGGAGACAGACCTTGAAATCCTAGAGGCCTGGCGGCCTATGAACACTAGTCTCCCTGAAGGTTTTGGTTTCATTCAGTCTTCTCACAGTATTTATTTTTTCTTTTTCTCTTGCAAAACTCGATTGTATTCTCCTGAAAGGCAATTTTAATTTTGAAAATATTGCTAAAGACATGAGCTCTAATTTTAAAATGACATTCAAGCTTAAAGTAATTGGGGAATACCATAGCTGATTATAGTTAAGCAAAGTATCATATTAGTAGCTATATTTTTGCTTATTTGTTCCAACAAAAGTATGAAGCAGTGATGTACAAGGGAGCTAATGAATGAAGAAATGTTTTCTTTTTTTTTTTAATTTAGGTTGTTTATTTTTCATTTCAATGAACATCTACAGAGATTTTGGGACTCCATTCATTCATTGTTGCACCCTCTTCCCCGCACAAACCCCTCCTCCCGCCCCCCGTTTGCTCCTCTTTTTGAAAAGCAAAAGAAAAACTCCCTCATTGGTACACAATCCCCACCCCCGCACCTCCCCAAACCCCACCCCTTCCCCCAAATATAATCCACTCTGCAACCCTCATTGTATACTCCTATGATAAAAATAATGCCCTAAAATATAATACTTTTTGTTTTCTTAAAGCTTAGGTTAGGGTTAGGACAAATGAAGAAGTGATATTTTAAATACAGTGTATAGAAATTAACCTGTTCGTGACTTAAAAAACAACCACAACCCAATATTGGTGAACCATTCCCCTTTTCCTTCACCTTCCTACCCCCGCCCCAGTGTTCCTTCTTATCTGAGACCTTTCTTTAAAACACTTCAGTTACCTAGCGCCTCAAAAAGACTCCAAAACAATTGCAGTGTCCTCCATTTAAAATTGTCTTCGTGATCCATTAAACTGAATTTACAAACAGTGTTTATCTATCTAAATTGTGATGGTGGTGAGAGTTGGCATAGGACTTTTCCCGTCTAAAGCCCGAGAGCCTGCTGCTCTGTGCCCTGCTCTCCTATTTCCCTTGCTTTGTTTGCTCTGATGGCCGTTGTAGCTTTGCTTCCAGTGAAATGATGCATGCATTACTGGGAGATAATGTCAGATAAATTTATACTGTACTGAAAGCAATACCACAACAGATTCGTCACTTATCAGAGAACTGGTGGCTGCCTTTCAGAAAAGTTCCCTGGGGAGAGATTTTCCCCCATGGCTTTTAAATTACCATCTTTACCTTTTTGAATCATGAGTCTTCAGAAATGGTTTAAATCAATGAAATAAAAAGGGCAGATGTTTAATGGTATTTAGATGAGTTTTAAAAATCTCTTCAGGCATTGCAAAATGATGCCTTAGCTTCCTGCTTCAAAAGCTGACTCTTGGTTCCATTCCATTACTACCTACTGCTTGCAAATAATATGTGTTTCCCAGATAATAGTTATTTAGCAGAAATTCTATTTAAAACATAGCCATATTTTAATTTGTTTTCTTATGAAAATAATTGGAGTGGGGGAGGCTGTCAAAATATATTATAGTGACTCTTCACGCCAGTATAGTTAAGATTGTGTCAGCACTTGAATCATAGACTGAATGAGTGCTTCACAGTTTTCTTACCTGGCAGTAAATATTGCTTCAGGCTGAATTTAGACAGGTAAATAATCTGAAGTGCATTTATGTACGTTTGGAGAAGCTTTAAAAATGCAAATAGTAATATTTGACAAGTTTAGTTATAATTATACTTGTTTTTATAAGGCTGTCATAACAAATTATCACTATTTTGGTAATTGAAAACAAAAGAAGGGAGCTCTGGTAGCCTAGTCAGTGAGGAGTTGTGCTGCTGTCCTGAAGGAAGGTAGTTCAACTCCACCATCTATTCTGAGAGAGAAATATGGGCAGTCTCCTCCTGTGCTATTGACAGCCTCTGAAAATTCCCCAGAGAGTTACCTAGGAGCACGTTCAATTCCGACTCACCAGCACATGACAATGACAACAGCACAACAGAAAGGCATTCTCAAGACATTGGCAGGGTTCATTCCTTCTGGAATCTCTGAAGGAAGAGCCAGGCCTCTCTTGCTTTTGGTGGTTCATGGCAGTTCTTCCTTGTAAATACACTATTCCGTCTTCACTTACCTTCATCCCAGGATCGTTATGTGTCCTGTCCTCTCCTCTTATAAAGGCATCAGCAATTAGATCTAGGGTCTGTCTGCCCTTAATTCATGGTGATTTTATCTCAAGATCCATAACTGATAACATCTGATAAAACCTTTCTTCCAAGTAAAGGTTATATTGTAAGGTTCTGAATGGGTATGAATTTGGGGGGTAAACTGTGTTGCCTTGACAGTAGAAGACGTTTTGCTGTTGGGAGCCATGCTTTTAACTCTTCACACTTGATTTCCTAATTATATATGAAGATGTTTTTAGTCTGTTATCATTTAGCATGTGACTACTTCAGATAGTTGTCTAAAATGCTGTTTAGGCTGACTTGTGTTAGTCTCCCCTCATCATATTGACATACTTGCATCCATCTAAACTGACATGCTTAATGCCTGCCCCTTGAAGGTTAGGAGTGAGGCTCTTGACCCAAACTTGCACCCTGGCTGCACTGCTCACTGTTTGGCCTGCAGGATGCATCCAAGTTGCCCTGTGCCTTAGGTCCTTCTTACCATAAAGATAGGACAAGAATAATGTCTATTCATAGGGTTATTTTGATGGTTTAAGCTGTGTTATTGTTAGCAACTGTCAAATTATCCCTGATTCTTAGTGACTCAGGACACAACAAGATGAAGTATTTCCCAGGTTTGTGTCATCTTTGACTTTGTTTAATGATTGGACTTTTATGATCAAAGAGGTTTTCACAAGTAATTCAGGCCTTTTTTACTCATCTCTGCCATAGTCAAAAGCTCTTCTGAAGTCTGCTCTGCATCTTAACAACCTGTGAGTCTCCATTGGCTGAAAAAATGGCAGCTATCTCTGAGATGCGTTTGCCGGTATGCAAACATGAGTCTCCCTCATGGAACCTTAACCCCCAGCGTGCAACTTGAAATGTAGTAATCATCTAGTAAATGCTGCCACTGTCATTTTTCTAGCCATTTTCCCTTGGGATCCCTTCTAACTGAATGCATTTTTGTTTACTTCCAAGCCCATAAATCCAAGATTCTAGTGACAATGGATATTTATATCGTTTGAATGACACTATGAGAGTTTGGGTTCGTTAGTGGGTTGCACTGCCAACACATAGGTGAGTGGTTCGAATCCATCAGCTTCTCCGAGGGAGAAAAATAGGCATTCTCTTGTGCAATTTACAGACTTTGAAAACACACTGGAGGGTCAGCTATGAATAATTTCCTACTGAATGTCAGTGAGTCTTGAGAGGTTTGTTTGGGGTTTGGGGGGTTTTTTGTTTGTTTGGGTTTTTTTTTGTTGTTTGTTTGTTTGAAAGCACATTCTGAGCTCATTATTGTGTAATTCCACCTATAGGTAAATTGAAGGTTAGTGTCACAAATTCACAATTGTGAGTTTATGGTGTATAAAGATTATTTCACAATCTTGAGTCTGTGTTGTATAAAGAAAAAGCATGAAGAGTAAAATGAATTTGGTTTTCTTATTTACTTTTATTAACTCAGAGATGTGTTCCAGTGTGGATTTACTAGATGACTTTGACTCTCCTAACTAGACTAGCAGGGTAATAGTTAAGATAACATTAAGCTTGTGGCATCCAGCCTGGGTTTAACTACTTTAAATGACGTACTTAATGATAGCCTATAATAATGAAAATTTAATAACATTCAATGCTTGGTAGGTAAAATTCTGAGGACTTAACAAGCATTATCACTGGTAATACAAAAATTCCCAAGAGATACATAGTGTTGTTCCCATTTTACAGTTGAAGAGACTCAGTCTCAACCAGAATTTGCTCACATTGGTGGTAAGCCAAGTCTTTTCATCTCTTAACTGCTATTATTTCCTTCTTGACACATCACAAATACTTTCGTTTACTTGGTAGGATATCTAGCAGTGGATGTGAAGGCATGTAAGGAGAGCAGCTCATCACAATTTGATAATCATCCCTAAACTGTAGACATTGTATTCTACTTGTCTCCCAGGGCCTGGAGAATCCTGCATAGCAGATTATAAGCACAGTTCTTTGCCCTCATCACCTTTAAGCCTGTTCTGACTGACTTGATTGTGTTAGCTAGGGAAGCCTGCTAGCTAGAGTAGATGCTCAGTCCATAAAGTTCCTACGGCTAAGGGATCATAAGAAATGGCATTCCTTATTGCAGAGTCGTGGCTGTGCAGTGTGTAATATATAGGGCTACTAAACCAAAAGGTCAGTGGTTCAAATTCACGAGATGTTTCACCAGAGAAAAATGGGTGTTTTCCTCCCATATAAAGATTTACAACCTTAGAAACAAGTTATAGAAGGTCATGAGGAATTGGGACTAATTCAGTGGTGGTGAGTTTGGCTTTGGTTTTATAGTAGAGGTAGAAGGGTGAATGTATGCAAACTTCTTAAACATGACATCTTGAGGACATGAGGGGCTTGTTCTTGGGTCTTAAGACCATAGATTCTGGGGACATCAAGATCAGTTGGCATACTACAGTCCACAAAGACAATGCTGTGCATCCTTCTTTGGTGAGTAGCAAGTGAGGCCCTAAAAGCTTTTACATAGTCATCTAAAGAACACCTTGTCTCTCCTTGTCTGGAATAGAGGAGAGGAACGGAAAAATCAAAGGTGTGTAAGAAATAGTCATCTAAAGAACACCTTGTCTCTCCTTGTCTGGAATAGAGGAGAGGAACGGAAAAATCAAAGGTGTGTAAGAAACAGTCCAGTCAGCCCAAATAACTAATGGACCATGGGATCCTTAACCACCATGAACCCAAGACCAGATAACTAAATGGTGCCCAGCTACCACTGCTGACTTCTCTGAAGGGATCACAGTAGAGGATCTTAGAGACAATAAAACATATATATGAATGAGAATGTTAAAAAAAAAGTAAGCAGTTACTAGTCTAATAGTTAATAGTGTGTGCCACTGAGTTGGAACCAACTCATATCTGAGAGTGGGTTTACAAAGTCACTAACTCACATGGTAAGAGACTTCCCATCCTTCTCTCAAAGAGCAGCTGGTGAAATATGTATGCCTTGGGGATTCTGAAAGAGAGTGGTGAGATCCTTGAGATTATTACCCCTAGTCATTCAAACTTAAAGTCTAGAGCAGAATTCATTTCTATGACTCAAGTTTCACTTAAACTCTTAACAGGCCTGTAAGGTGAACAGTAACAAGAGAGAGGCATTCACTTATTTGAACAATCAACCAAACAATATCAAAAGGACAGCATTTAGCAAGATTTAAAGTAGGATAGAAGGATTCCTGGAAATATGAGTCACAGGTAGGACTCGGAAAGAGGGCAGTTGCATTGTAGGTATTATAATTAATGTCATAAGGTCAAATGTATGTGAATGGTTGAGTAGAAAACCAATTTAGTCTGTAAACTTTGATTCGAACTACAAATCTCTTTTGAAAAAATGAAAGATTTTTGGAGGGAGGTAAGATAAACAGTTTGAAAATGTTAATTTCTGGTGTTTTTTTGGACTTAATGAGTTTTTCCATGATATGTTAAAGTATTTACCATATCTTTTATTTTGTTTTTATATTAGAGAAACAAATTTCAGTCTAGCATTCTTGTCTAAGTGTAGTTATCCTACTGACTCTTCCTAAATTTTGCTGCTTTTTTTATTTTTTAAATTTTATTTTCAACTTAGAAATGGCTCAGCTGGGAAACTATGATAGCGGGGCGGCAGAAACACCAGAAACAGATGAATCATTGAGTGTAAGTATATTTCCTGATGAGATGTGATTTTTTTCTTTCTGTTTATTGACATATGGAAATTTTTGGCTGAATTAGTGACTTTATTCAATAAGCATTTATTGTGTTTCTGCTTGTGTGCAGTACTATACCACTAGACACACAGTTTTTAATCCTTCCTCCTAAGGAGAAACAGAAATTAATAAAAAGACTTTGTAGAGAAAACCTCCACAAAATTGATAAATAGTAATAAGATAAATAAAGAAAAACCATACACAACATGCCTCTTGAAACTCTATCATCTTTGAGAAACAACAATAGTTCTAGAAAGGCTTCAAGTCTTTTGTTCATAGGGTCGCTATGAGCCATGCTCGACTCAACGGCAATCAGCAACAATAAAAGCATGACATAAAAGGCATGAAGGGATAGTTTGGCAACCTAATCTGGCAGGTCCAAAGAGACTTTCCAGGGATTTGTGCTTCCACTGAGATCTAAATAGGCTGAGAAGGCCGAAAGAAACAAAGGGAACATTCTAGGTCAAGAGGACATCAGAGGTAAATGTTCTGTGACACAAAGGAGCAGGAGGTATCTGAGGCCAAGAGTGAGTAAAAACTGAACACCTAAGCAGTTGTTCTTGTTGGTCAGTGTTTCTTTTCCACAAAGATAGTAAGAAGCTTGAGAAGATGTACATGAATGAATGAATGCATGCAGGAGAGGTACAGGGGGCTGATACATTCAGAGCATCTAGCTAAGAAAGATCTCTGACTGCATCACAGAAAGCAAACGGGGTTGAGGAACAAGCAGAAGTGGCCCTCAGAAAGGCAGTGATATAAGACTGCCGCACTGCTAAAAATGAGAGGTACTGGGCACTGGTGCCATTCTCCCTAGTTGTGAATGCTAAGGGAAGAGCCCCAGTGGGACAGGTTGGGGATATTTGGGGAATCAGGGACAGGGTCTAGTCTAGTTGCTAAGAACCTAAACTTAAGGCTCAATTGCCTAGATTTCAAATCCAATTGCACATCTCACTGGCTGTGGAAGTCTTTCTCTGAACCTCATTTTTATCATCTTTAAAATAGATACAATCAAAGATTACAAAAGGGTAAATGAAACTTGTTTACTATTTGGTGGTGTTAAGTCAGTTCTGATTAATAACAGCCTCATTTGCAACAGAAAATAATAGCGCCCAGTCCTCTGCCTTTTGCAGGGTTTGCTGTGTGTACGTACGCCCATTGTTGGAGCCACTGTGTCATTCTGTTTCCTTGAAAGTCTTCCTCTTTTACGATGAACATTTACCTTACTAATCAAATGAGATAGCCCATGTCAAATGAATAGAACATCACATAGTAAATAAGTGCTAAATAAATAAGCTGCAACCTGCTACCTCTTGGAGTAAGAGGTTTTGGTGGAGGCTTAAAATCACTCGGTCGTTATCTGTGATCATAAAGATCACTCAGGTAGGGTAAAAGTACTGAGAACTTGGAAAATGTAAAGTAATTCTACTTTTGAATTATGTTTTCTGAGACAAGGCATTTGCAGGTGATCAAGGTTTCGTGTGTCAGGGTTGCATCCTCTGTCCATACCTATTCAATCTGTATGCTGGGCAAATTATTCAAAATGCTGGACTCTCTGCAGAAGAAGATGGCATCAGTATCAGAGGAAAACTCATCAAAAGCCTGTGTTATGCAAATAACAAAACCTCACCTGCTGAAAGTGAAGAAACAGCTCTTGCTGTAGAGGATCAAAGACATTTCAACAACAAGAAAACAAAAATTCTCACCAGTGGACTAATAAGCAAAATCATGACAGATGGAGAAATGATTGTAAATGACTCTATCTTACTGAATCCACAATCACACCCTTGGTACTAGCAGTCAGGAGATCAGGAGATTTATTACATTTGGCAAGTCTGCAGTCAGGGACCCCTCCAAATTACTAACAATCAGTGATGTAATTTTGAAGACTAAGGTGCATTCAATTCAGTCTATGATCTTTTCAATCACTTGCTGTGTCTCTGAGAGCTGGACAAGGAATAAGGATGACAGAAGGAGAATAGATGCCCTTGACCAGTGGTGTTGGAGAAGAATACTTGATATCGCCTGGACTGCCAAATGTACAAACAAATATATCTTGGGAAAAGTGCAGCCAAAGTGCTTCTTAGAAGCAAGCATGATGAAGCTTCAGCTCACATACTTTGGGCATGTTTCTGAGAGAGGCTATTATTCTTTGGAGAGGGGCATTATGTATGCTTGGAAAGGTGTAGGGATGGCAAAAGAGAAAAAGACCCTCAATCAAACAGATTGACACAGTGACTGCAGCAGAAGGCTCAAATGTGTCAGGGGTGATGAGGATGGCACAGGATAGGACAGGGTTCAGATCTGTTGTTACAGGGTCACAGTGAGTCGTTCATGACTTGATGGCATCTAAAAGCAACAGGTTCTGTGGTTGAATATCAGGGAAAAAAGGAGAGGAGAAAGATGGTCGTTTAAATTGAGATCAAAGAACCAAGAGGTTATGGTATTATATGAGTTACCTATATAGACTGAGTTCACCCAGGATGGGGAGAGAACTTGGGCCTAAAGGAAGGTGAAGTTGCCTGGTAATGTCTTCCAAGATTTGTGAAAAGACCGCACGAGCAGATAGCACTGCATAAGAGATGGCTGAGTAGATCCCAAGTTCTGCCCTAGTTCACCAAGTAGAAGAAGGGAAATGTGCGCTATATTCTGCAAAAGAGCCATCAGCCTCTCCCAGTGCCCAGGTGCATGGGTATGAAAGAATCTTTTAAAACACTTGGTGTCTTCTTATCCTTTCAACTAAATTTTTTGGAAGTAATTGTTTCT